AAGTAATAAGTAAGGGTGATAAATGAGCACACAGTCCAGCTTACGTTGAGTAATATTCACACCCGTAGACACCTACATTTGTTCTCAAATATGAATCAAAATGCAGATGCGTTGTCACTCTTGAGGATTAAAATGGAATGTCTCGGAACCAATAAAAAAGTATCCGTTACTCACCTTACGAAACAGAATTACACTGCTATTTCACACTGGTATTCTGTGCAAGCGTGGTCCTTCCGGTCGAGCCAAAAAATTCGATATATTATTTTTGTGGATTACGTGTCCCGTGTTCTTCTGTTTTATTTTACCACATTTTTATTAAGTCACTTTCTCGTTTGTTTGTCTGTCTGCCTATCTGTCTGTCTGTCTGTCGTTCCGGGTGAAATATAGCAACTCAAATTTCGAGCACTTCGCGATGAGCTAGAGACTTGAAATTTTGAACATGCAGATCTCATGTTCAGAATCGTATGACAAAGTAGAAATATAAAAACGTGGTATTATAATTTTTCTGCCGACTTCCAAAAAGGAGCCGGTACTCAATTCGACTGTATGTTTTTTTTTTCGTTTTTTTTTTTATGTGTGTTACCTCAGAACTTTTTTCTAGGTGAACCGATTTCGATGATTCTTTTTTTATTTGAAAGCTGGTACTTCTCGTGTGGTCCCATATGAATTTGATCAAGGTCAGACCAATAGCTTTTAAGTTATTCTTAAATAACTTATATTGAAGTCGGCTGTACAAAATTTTTAATTTTAAATTATTTTGGTACGAAATTAAAAAAAAAAGTACTTGTTTTCTTTGTTATATTAAGTAAACTTTATACCTACTAACTTACTATAAATTGCTACGCAGTGAATATTTCTTCCAGAATTTTGCAAGAATCCACTACAAAAATCGAGTAGTGCCCAATATAATTCGAAATAACCAACTAGAACTAAAATAGCGTTTGGTACTACGATTGCCAAAGACACCTTGTGTCATTGTTTGTAATAAATTAAAAACATTGCTTACTTTTTACTGTTCATTTGTGGAGAAAAATAATCTTGGTTTAGAATGTTTTCTACAAAAATACACTCAAGTATAAAACTAATAATTGTAATAGTTCATGCGTATCACCATACGTTGCAATAGATAGGCAAGAAGGGGTTGAAACGAAGGTGCAGCTGAATGTTTTTATTAAAATGTTTGACGCCACGAGACGTCGACCAACATGCTGTTCCCTTTTACTGTTTTATATTGTGTCCAATTTTTCTGCACTTTAAGGGATAATTTTACTTGTAGAAAAATAATGAAATCTTGAACATTATGATCGAACTCGCAAAAGAACCTTTTACGTGGTAGAGCCATGCTGCAGCTATATTAGGAGTATAGTTGTAGCACGAATGGGTCGGCTCGACCGGGGTAGGACCTCTCAGAAAACCAGCGTAAAATAGCAGCTTAACGCTGCTGTGTTTCGTATGGTGAGTGGAGGTAACCGGAGAACCTTTTTACTGGCAAAGAGGCATTCCATCTTAGTCCTCACGGGTGACAACGCATCTGCATTTTGATTCGTAAACGAGGATAGATGTAGATGTCTATGGGCCACAGCAACCACTTACCATCAGGTGGACTGTGTGCTCGTTTGTCACCCTATCCTATAAAAGAAAATAAAAACCTCAAAAATTAGTCCGTGAACGCCTTGAATCGGAAACCAAAAATTTGTATTGAAATAAAATTGAACTGCATTTTGAAGTAATATCTCATATTTCTGAAGACTGACCTTTGCCAGAGGTATAGCAATTACCTTAGCATGAATTTGAAAGGCCTTCAGATTGCAGAAAATGATAGTAAATACTTGTTATATTATAGAGTTAAAGCAGTAGACTTCTAGCATACTCGACTTAAACGATTTTATCTATACCACAACACAATCTTCTCTATAAACACTTGATTATGTTCATGAATCTGTACGACCAAGAGCAACTAGATGTGTTAGGTAAGGTTGAAAAATTACAACGAAGCAGATCTGATGGTGAGTGAATGCTGTAGCTAGATGCCTACTCGATAAGGCTAAATTGGAATGCCCGTAATTACAGCACAAGGTGCATTTCTTTATAACTAACTCCGACTAGACGGTCTTCCACACTTACCAATATCTACTTATAAACAGCAGTGCACCCTATATTATCCCGGTTCGAAGAATATAGAGCGTCAGGCTAATTACATCAACGAGGCATTTTATCTCAGTTGTCAGGGGATTTATCGCATCTATAACTGTTGGCTCCAGCTACTTTTGTTGGCTATAGTTGCAAGCACTGCTCTTTATGGGCTGCACTAGCCACAACTTATTTTAGCTGCGACTTATGTTATAAAATTAAAAAAAAAAACACTATCACGTTAGAATTCTTGGTAAATGGTAACCTTAATTATTTACAAAAAACATGTGTTGGCTTTTTGTGGGCACCATATAAATAAAAAGTTCACAATATGATTATTTTTGACTGACTTCATACTGACTTCATAAAAATAGCATTCCCGTACAAGCGTTTGAGTGTATTTTGTAGCAATAATATAAGGTATATACCGTAACAAAGAAATACTATAATTTATGGTGGCATAAATTATAGTATTTCTTTGTTACGCAATCGGTTTTTGACATGTGTTCTTCTTCAGGTCTTAAAAGTCTACCGCTAGTCACTATAGACGGGTTGTAATGATACGATAACTTAACGGGACGCAGCTTTGATAGAACCCTAAAATAAAAACAACTCTACTTCTCTTGACTTTTTTTTATTTCTAGACTCTTGCGTACGCATTCGTGACTCCATGTAGGTTGTAAAATAGATCACCTAAAGTATTTTATATAAACATTCAGCGTGAACAAAAAACAAAAGGCCGCCGAAATAGCAACAGCAATAAAGTCGATTACAATTGCAGAGAAAGCGTTTGGAGTCCTCCTAAGAATTTCAATGCAGCTCCACATTCCGACGTAAAGAGAGGGGGACGTAAATTTAACAGCCGGGAAACGGTGTAGTCACGTTTTGCGAACCGCGGGATTTATGGCATTGGAAGCTGAACGTCGCAGGGTTGCCAACTATCGGACGTTCCATTATACGCATTTATTTTTAATAAATACAGTACATTATATTATTATTACCGTATAGTTTTTTACCGTGTTTTATTGCATAAATCGTTACATAGGTTTGTTTTGACGAGTGCCCCGTGCTGCTTATAAAAAGAAAATTGTGAGAATTTATATAGCTTTACAGCACCCGTAGTCACGGGGGGAATGAGGTGTTCGACGTTCCAATGGCATAGTTAACCACGGCTACCTTCAGTTCAAAATGTGACGGGATTGTGATAAATAAATCAATAAATGCGATAAAATCCGTACAATAGTTTCATTCAATAACATCTGCTAACATAAAAAAAATCGTTTTTTTTTTTTGTCCTCATTATAAAGAAGAATTAAAAGAACATATTCACAGAGAAGCACTTTTCATTGCATAACAAAGCAAGAAAAAATAAAGCTACAATTTCATACAATTACTTACAATTTAATCACACACATAAAGTATTTGAGGTTCTCAAATTATGTTCCAATAATGTTTAATGCATGATTTTGAGAGTTAAACAAACTCACTATTTATTTTCAAAAATGACCCTTTATCTTCTATATTTGACTGAAACTGACAATTTAAAAAGTTTTGGCCAACCCTGACTAGGGTAGAATGAGCCCGGGACGCGTAGGGAGCTGCCGCCAGGTCAGCGGGTCGCGTGCTCACGTGCTCGGATAATGCCCTTTGTCCCGCTTCCAACGCACCACAATATTTATGAAAATATCGAAATTTTATCGGGTAAAGGTTATGTTTTAAAATAATTTTTCAACGTAGGTACTTAGTATAATATTAAGAACAGTTTTAAAGACTACGAAGCTAGGTTTTTAAGACTAATAGGCATTCCAAAGAGATCTGTTAGGTACTAATGAATGCTCGGAATTTCATCAATGTAAAATTCTATATTAATGTAAAGAATTGATACTTATAACTATCTATTTTTAAAATGTGTTAAGTGAACTTTATTATCACAATATAATATCCGTTATAAAATATTAATATAGCCCTTAACATTAATGGATTCGGTATTTAAACCGAGTTTTTCGAATGTTTGTACAACACTCAATCAAGGAAAATAAAATAATAGGAAATAGAAAAATTATATACCTACTTAGTGAAAGTAGGTACGTAGGATACGAGTATTTGCAAATAGGAATTACTAAGGGAATTTTAGGGAAGGGATACTAAGGGATCAACTAATCTATACAGTTTAATTTACGACTATGGTGACAGTGGTATTGTCTTCTTCTTTATCGATCCGTAAAAACCCACTACTGGGTCTTGCCTAAAACGTATTGATTATGTACTCTTTGCTTTGCTCCATCTCCCGCTGAAAAGTTTTTTACATAGGACAGGATGACAAGCGAGCACAGTCAACACAATCCAACTGATGGTAAGTGGTTGCTGTGGTTCATAGACATCTACATCTATTCTCGTTTGCGAATCAAAATGCAGATGCGTTGTCAACCATGAGGACTAAGATGGAATGCCTCTTTTCCAGTAAAAAGGGTCTCCGGTTCTCTACACTCACCATACGAAACACAGTAGTGTTAAGCTGCTATTTTACGCTGGTATTCTGTGAGAGCGTGGCCCTTCCCCGGTCGAGCCGACACATATACACACAAAAGTGCCTTAATGCTGAATTTTTTTATATTTTTTTTACACATTTTTAACTTTTTTTTTATTCTTCTATGAATATACGTAGTTTGGTTTATACATTTCTAATCTAGTAAATATAAAATATAACTATTATTTTAGAAAGAAATATTAATCTCTACACTTTTCTAGCAAATTAACCTCCTCCGCTGTGAAATCTGGTGGAGGAAAAAATTGTGGATCACAAGGCCTCATTAATGAAAGTATAGTAATGCGAGTGTTGATTTGCAGCGTGGTGCAATGGCGGTGCGGTGATGGCGGATGGCGCGGGCGCGGGCGCGTGGGCGGGCGCGTGCGCGGGCGCGGGCGAGTCGGCGGCGCGCGGCGCGGCGCTGGAGCGCGCGTACGTGCACGACGTGTACGAGCAGGCCGGCGACGGCGAGGACGCGCCGCGCCCGCCCGCGCCCGCCGTGCGCTCCTTCCTCGACGAACTCGACCCCGGCAGCCTCGTGTGCGACGTCGGTGAGCAATCTCATTTCAGATAACTAATATGTTTTCTTTTTTAATAGAATAAGGTTGACAAACAAGCACCCAGTCCACCTGATGGTATGTGGATGCTGTCGCCCATAGACATCTACATTTCTTAATTAAGAATCAAAATGCAAATGCAGACAATGGAGGACTAGGCAGTCGGGTTTGGCAACCTCAGATTATTTTCTGTTTTAGTTGTGCCCATCTCCTAGATTGTTTCCCCCTGTCGCCTCTTACTACCCCAATGGGACGATTTGGGGTAGTAGATATTCTTACACCGCCACTACGCGGCTTATAACCTTTTTAACGTGAGGAAATCCTCGGCAATGAGTAGCAGGAGAAGCCAAAAAGTCGCCAGCTGTTTTAGGGGAAGAATAACGGATGCAATAGCTTTTTTTTTCGAAGAGAAACATTTGTAATCTTAAGAATATTTATTCCAAGGTTCGATATTACGATACAAACTTCACTAAATGTTCGTCTCGGCGGTCAATTATTAAAGGAGATGCTAGAGCTGCCCACTCGTCTGTTGAGCAAGTAACATCCACAAATAATAAGCGAATCGCTTTTATTTCGAACCTCTGAGGTAAATGTCAACGCGTGGGCGTTCATTCGAAGCGACACGGCTTCATTTGGTAATACAATAATTAAAAGCAACGTTTTTGTAATTAATTAAATGTTGATCAATCAACAAGTATGTGCGATGCGGTGAATGCTCTCGGTGCGCTATAATACGGACCGTTTAAATATAATTTCATTAACCTGGCCAAAAAAGGACTTGTTTTCATATATATCTAACATTTATGTATGTCTGTTCTTTTATGACCTAGTGGTAGGTGTTAGAGTTATTCTTTTTTTATAGGATAAGGGTGACAAACGAGCACACAGTCCACCTGATGGTAAGTGTTCTTTTATTGCCATTTTTATATAGAAGAGGGGGACAAATAAGCATGCGGCTTACCTGATGGCAAGTGTCGACCACCGCCTATTCACAAATATAACACCAAGGGAATTGCAGGCGCTTTGCCGTCTTTGTAAAAAGGAGTAAGCTCGTTTCTTGAAGCTCCCTAAGTCGTATCGGTCCGACAATAGTGGACCGCCAAACATCCCGATGATATGGATTTGTGAAATGCGTTGATGAAATTTTGTGACTGGAATTAATCCGAACAATTCCTCTGAACACTCCCCGTGGTAAATGCGATAGAAAATGCAAAGGGATGCAACATTTCTTCGTCTCGTCTTTAGTCTTCGTCGTCGACGATTCGAGCCGCTTTGCACTGGATACGGTCAAGTATAAGGAGCTGGTACTAGGGAGTCCCGGCTCAGAGATAGGAACAGTATTCCAAGTAACGCCGAACCTGCTCCTTGTAAAGTTACAACCGAGAAATATAGGCACAGCCGGTATATAAAGCATCACCAGTGCACATTACTAGTTTGCATCATATTATTGATAAGCAGAAGAAACAGCGTAGGTCATAGCACGTAGCCTTGTTGAACACCAGCATAAATAGGCGTGCAAATGGTGCATGCAACTTCTACAACGACTTTGTTGCTCCAATCTGCAAGAAAACTGCTGATCCAGTTGCACAAATGAGGGCATCCATGTATTTAAAGTGAGGTATAATATTTGACAGATTTCATAGCGGGGATGATAATTTGTTCGGAAAATGTAAAAGTTATTGTTTCTTTTTGTAATATTAGCTATATTTTATATTAATAACATTAAAATAAAGAAACCAAACCACAGATATTCATAAAAGTAGAAAAATTAAAAAAGTTTAAAATGTGCAAAAAATTAAAGAGCAAACCACTGACGCATTGTTTTGTTTTTGTTTCGAACTGGTATGGCACAAAGCGCTTCTAAAGCGCTTCTTTCGAAGCGCTTTGTGCCATACCAGTTCGAAGGCCAGAAGATCACCAGCTGAGCAACCCCGACGGAAATCGTACTGGCGGTCAATTTTCAGTTGGTGATCTTCAACGTCATGATCTGGCAGTTCACAATGGTTTTCATTATTTTGGAGAACAAGTTGGATAGGTCTGAGCGGTCGATTTTCGGTTATTTTTTAGGGATCTGGTGGACTATAGCTATCTTCTTTGAGTTCGGGACTACGGCTAGGGAGAAAGAGTTTTAGAAAAGACACGTTACGACCGGTGTCAACTAGGGAGCACACATCTTCAATAGAATGGTAAGAACTACATCAGGCCCACTCGACTTCACGTCTAGGGAGAGTAGTGCTATGCGCACCGAGCACTGTGTAAACCGTATCGTACCGACCTGAAGGCGAAGTTATACTTCTTTTTAACAGCGCTGGTGAAGCACTCCTATATAGCGCGATGCAATTCTACAGGAGCGACCAAACCAGGCACCACATATGATAGAATAAAGAGTCCCATGCCCTGAAGTACAACATCAGCGACAGAATCACGTTGGGATTATCCAACGAGAAGCATACCCGCCCCCGTCCTCAAGGGGGAGATGCAAAAAAAGACCGCATCCTCTCCCAATCGGCTGACCTATAGTGCCAAACACGGCGGCGATCTGCAGAACGCAAGTGCAATGGGAGTGTGTGTGTGTGTGGCACCATAGTCCGGATCAGACAATGGACATCTGGATGAGAGGTCAGCAGAAGGTTCTACAGAGAATGTGCACGAACCTCCATATCTAGAATCCGCATAGGTGAAATAACCATTTGTGTCGGACCATATGCCAAGGCAAAGTCATAAACAGATCTTCCCGCATGATCGGTTAAACGAGAACCAAGACATTCAGCGTGGTGGCCATTAGAGTCACTAAGAATCACGATCTCTGCAGATGGGACCTGTTGTAGCACGGAGTCTGCAGCGATTTGGACGTGGTCGACGAGTTGGTTTGCGTCGGCATTACCTATAAAGGCACCCGTAGACGCGATGGTCGTCGCTAACCTTCAAGACTGCCGAGGCGTCGAGAACCTCTCTGACGTATACGCAAGCTCCAGCTCGAGGTACAAAGGTGTTATAATTTTTTTTATAACTGTCTTTACGGCTCCGGGTTCTAGCCCTTCTGAACCTGAAATTACAATGTATAATTATCCTTCATAGTACACTGCTTCACAATATGTTGATGCGTCACATTGTGCAGTCCTTGGTAGATTTTGATGGCAACTTGAGCCATCAGACAGCTGACAGTTGGCGATGGTATCTCAAGACGCCTAAGCAGGCGCACTTGTTGCACCGTTTCCACTAATAGTTCACATACGTAGACATTTAATGCACAAAATCACACCACTTTTACATATCAAAATCTACTTCAAACCATTATTTAAACCATAATACAGGAGCAGCAATCTGTCTCCGGTCAAGTTCCCGCCAAAACTCCAGGTGTTATAATCTGTACCCCGGATAGAAGAGAAGTATCGACCAGAGAGGACACCTGCGTCTCGATTAGAAAGAGCATGGTTGCCTTCGCCGTCTTCAGATGGTACCTAGTGAACTTCGTTAACGTTCGAATGAAATCCCCTGATGTTGCAGAAATTCACGGATAGCGGTAGCAGGGGTCACTTTGTCTTATTGCTCTACTTGCCACGAGCAGTATTAGTCTTGAGCGGAATTTCGCAAACCCCCTCCTCCCCAGGATAAATGAGGCAGCCTGAGCACCCGCGCTAAGGAAGAGTAGGGTAGCTTGGACGTGGATGCTCAGCCATGAATTCTCCAATACCAGGGGTGATGGTACCCTCCTGGGATGGTTTCTTATCTAATTACACTACCATGTTAAGGGGAAAAGGGGTTAGGCCTCCGAGCACTTGCACTTAACAGGCGAAGTAAACTTCTACTTCACGCTGGATATTTGTAAGATCGTGGATCTCTTCGGTTCGAACCGGTCCACCCACATTCATTCATTACAGCTCTTCGTGTCATGTCTTACCAGGTCGGTAAGTCATGACACGAAGAGGTACTCCAACTAGTCTAGCTCACCCGTGCGACAGCAAAAGCTGCCGTGTGTCTCTTCCACTGTTATGTTGTCTGCCTATACGAGTATTATTAACTGTAATCTGCTCCGTCATTGTTTATGCGTTACCGTTACACATAATACTTAGTAGTAAGTAGCTTTGTTTTATTAGGCCCTGCAGTGGGAGACAAGAAACTGATGATGAAGTTCTTTACACCTTTAAAGTATTTAGTTTAATTTAAATAGGGCTCCTTGGTTACATAGCTACGCCACTGAATGTAAGTAACTTAAATGTATGCAAAGGTGGACTTAATGCCTTATGGATTTTTCTACCAGTCAAATCCGTGAGCAATAGGGAATTAAAAGTTGACAGGTGTAAAAATGTATGTTACTATATCATATCAGTAGACATAAAACATATTATACGCTTATATGCAGAGTTCCGTTCTAAAATTACGAAAACGTAATTATTTCGGTATTTCGTCTGGTCTGTCTGCCTGTCAGAGACGTTTTCTCAGATACTGTTTTCTTTGTTTTCTCAGATACAGACGTGAGGTTCTAGAATTGTGTTTGATTTTAGGGATCGGTAAATTATATATATTTTTTTGAGATCATCATGTGGGAAATTTATTAAAAGCTCCGCTTTTACTAATTAAATAATAAATCGTTATTCTGTCTACAATTTTATTTTATAATTGTTTCAAAAAATATACTTTAAAATTGATGTTCTTCACCAATAATATTAATATAAATATCGCTAAGAAAAATCTGAAAAGGAAATCGAATTCGGCTAATGAGGCCTTTATTTATAATTTTTGGAATAATCATTAAAGATATATTCTAAGAAAATCTTTAGCAACAAGAACATTAGAAATAGATCTTACTCTATATGATGAACCAACATTGTCAGGAATGAACATTTTCTTGATTGATGTTACAAAATATATGGTAATTTTGACACTAATGAAATTATAAAGTAAAGCACTCGACCAATTTCTTATTTATTAATAATAGCACTAGTAACTTATATCACTATGATAGAGATGATTACTAAAAATATTTTTTTTTG